ACGTCGAGGGGCCTCCCTCACATTTTTCTTAGAGAAACACGCTGCTCACTCCCTCACTATCCATCCTTCCATACCATACCATTTTATTTATAAAGCACTTAAAACAGCTACAAGGCCAACCAAAGTGCTGTACAGACAGAACAACAGGTAACGCATGAAGCACAATACAAAATGAGGTAAATCAGAATATAGACATAAAAACGATGCAGATAATAAATATGACGACAAACCAGTGTGGAGCGTGTGTTGTACCCATCAGGAGGGGTTTTCCTTCATGTGATTCCTACAACAGTTTGATGATTATTGTAGCAGACGGTCAATAACTTGTTGAAGAGCTGCGTTTAGTTTTCCTGCTGTCTTTACGTCACTCTTCAAAAAAACACTTAGTTTACAAACCACCGTTTTAACGTCAGCCATGTTGACTTTCTTTGTCGTCTTTGACAACAAGTTTTGTTTTTCCACCGCCACAGTTTGGACAGAGCTCTCAGGAACTTGACTGATGATGCAGAGAAAAGTTGTTCGTTACTGAAACGTTGAGGAAAATAAGATGTGACTTCAGTAAAACATGTGTCCACTACAGTCCTGTCCTGATGTGGAGGAGCTGTCATGATCCAAGTGATGACTTGTGCAGATTGTTGGCCACAGCCCTGAGGCAGTGTGTGTGTGTGTGTGCAGGGATCGAGCTGGACCGGCTGGATGCAGATCTCATTAAGCTGCTGGCCTATCAGCGGATCCAGCAGCTGTTCCCCCCCAAAGCCCCCAGCACTCCACCTCTACCAGCTCCCAGTGCTGCCTCAAAAAGTCTGCCCCCACATTCTGACAGTAAGAGCGTGATGTGACCTGTGTTTGTGTTCGTGCTGCCTATGAACGACTCGGTGTGTGATCTGATGATGTTGTCAGCAGGACGGAAGAAGGTGCAGGTCCGAGCGGTCTTCTACCCTCTAACAGGAAGGGGCGGGGCTGTCAGCATGTGCTACAGGACGTTGTACATCGGATCTGGTGAGAGACAGACCTCTGATCAGCCGTTCACTTTGAAACACACACACTTTAATCTCATTAATCCCAAGTAAATATGCTGAATTATTTGCAACACTTCTTTTTAAAACTAGTAGTTTGTTGGGGGGGTCACACTTAAATAATATCTAACGGTAAAGGTCCTTAGAGCCCCCCCGCCAAATCAGGAAAACACCCACCTGTGCATGTGAATAAATTCACAATATACCATACCATACCACTTTATTTATAAAGCACTTAAAACAGCTACAAGGCCAACCAAAGTGCTGTACAGACAGAACAACAGGTAACACACAAAGCAAAATACAAAATGAGGTAAATCAGAGTTTAGACATAAAAACGATGCAGATAATGACGACAAACCAGTGTGGAGCATACAGGATCAAACACAGATCATCTGGTGTTGAAAGCTACTGAATAGTAGTGAGTTTTTAAACTGGACTTGAAAACTGAGAGG